CAATGTGAATTTCTAACCATTATATCGAACATTTCATTTCATTAATTTTATTAATCTTATATCTTATATAAGTCGGTATTTTCATTTCTATTTCTTTAAATAGTATAATACTAAGTCGCTTTACGCGTCCTGCGTGTATATCCGCTAACCACTTCTAAAGCACGCAATGGATTTTAATGTTGTTTTTAGAATGAGTTCGTTAATGTTTAAGGGAGATTAAAATTTATAATAAAACTGCGTTAAGTTTTTTATGTAAGAAAAGAACGAGAATATTTTTTAATAATTTGCAACCTAGTCGCCGATAAATAAATCTACATCACTAACATAGGCCTACATTACAGCGTACGCTTTAGTATTAAATTGTGACATGTGTACATTCACCAAGAATCACCATAATTCCATATCAGGTCACATAACATTAATTTATTATTAAGTACAAAACAGGACTGTATTACACAGAGATAAGGGTCACAGGTAATTTAAATGGAAAGGTACCGATGCAGTAGATTTCAAAACTATTGCAGCTACACGATCTTATAAGACAGTATTTGTAGAATAAATAAGATTTGAGCATATATTAGGATATGTACAATCGAAAAAAACTGCATTGGTTAAATTACCCGGTTAAGAAATAATAATAACAATAAGAAATATCTCAAAGAAAACTTTTTATGCAAATTCATTAAATACCATCCTAAAATCCATACTTAATATTAAAAAGCTGAAGAGTTTGTTGGTTTGTTCAATTAAACGCACTAATGTCGGTACTATGTACCGGTTCGAATTAAAAGTTATTTCAGTGTTTGATAGCCCATTTATGGAGAAAGGCTATGGGGCAACATCACACCACGAGCAATAGGAGTCGAGCAGCAATGAAAAATGTTGCAAAACTGCATAAATTTATGCTATTTGAGAGGTACCTACTACAATAAAGTGTAGTGTAGGTAACCGTATACGTAGTATTATTACACAAACTTTGTTGGCGACAGTACACAACGTGTCTTGTCATCTGAATCATCAGCATGCGCGGGCGCATTATCTGTACGATACAGCTTTACTCAGTGCTTGACACCGCGACGTTAGCCGCTAAAATGACCCATCTTAATATTTTTTAATCTTCGAAATGAATGAAACTGATTAATATTGAAGACAAACTTTTTCGAAATTAAGGTGGATTTGGATGGGGTTGTTTTTATTATTGCATGATTATTGCCGATATTCTGAGCATTTGATCCACAAATTATTATTCTGAGTCTGGGTGTTCTTTGTGTCCGTTTTATGTATGTTTGTAAAAGTCTCCCGCAACACAGGATATATTCCTAATGCGGGATTTGTCTTCTTTGTGAAATAAAAATGTTTTATACTTTTATTTATAAATATTTTAATACTATAAATAAGTATAACTTAAAACAAACCCTAAACGAACCCGTCAGGCCAGCCTGGTATAGTAAGCCTACACAACCTTTCTTCTTGCAGTGGACTATTAGTGTTTTAGCTATTTGACTGCCCTGCTGGTCTAGTGGCTAGTGATCTTAATCGCTAAACCAGAGGTCGTATGTTTGATTCCTACAAATAATTGTGTGATGAGGATTGATCATTGGAATCGTATACGTGAAATTTATCTAAAATATGTATGTATTTACCCATATAATGTATTTATTTACCTATATATTTTGTAACTATATTTATCAGCAGTCAGTATACCGCAGTACAGGCTTAATTTAGAATCAGATAGCCACGTGTGTCAACTCATTATTTCGCCATATTTAAAATGTTTTACATTTCAAATTTATTTTTTAAAAGCAAGCGACATTAAGATATCCAGACAGCCATAAAAAGCAAAACGTTGTAAGTTTAAGTATACACATATAGATTTTGGAACATTAAGGTACAAAAACAACATTTTAGACACCACAAATTTAACGAACCCAAAGATTCTGAGCTTGACCATGTAGCTATAAGTATACGAACTCAGCGGACGCAAGTGAATGTGTGAGAAAATTACTATTTCATACTGAATGTGATTCTCGTATTCCTTAGTAGATAATTCAGTCCATTTGTTTCTTAATCACAAAATAATGTTATTACGTGTCACACATTCTATCGAATGTAATATAAATGTTTTCTAGTTGTGGATTTGTTGTATGACCCCTTTATAATAAAAACGCGTGTAAAAACTACGAGTATATACCTACTCTAAAATACTAAATGGTTTTAGGGTTCCGTATATACCTACCGTACTGACAGTTGAAATTCTCATATTTCAATTGCCATTTATGAAATTTTGGATGATCATATGCAAACATGCGAATCCGACTCGCACTTAACTTTTTAATTCTTTTTTTTATTCTTATTAATTTTGTGTATGTACCTATATCTAGTGTCTCTATGTAAGATAATAATCTTTGTAGCAGTCATCAATTAGTGATTAGCTTCAATAACACACCTTTTTTTCCTGTGCGAAACTCCCCTCGGAAACAGCCCACCAGTTGGGTAGTAATGACGGACTCGAACCAACCAAAAACCACACGCCGTCTCGAGGTACCAGTAGCCTGGGAACCAGGTATACCCTAGGAAGGAAAGCCCTGGTACCCTGACGTACTTCAGGCCATCTACGGCTTATAGATGACCCTCTCCTGAGTGCGAACCCTGATGTTCCCTTCCTGGCCCCGAAGGGCGAGCGGACTAAGTAGCGCGTCACGCCGTAACCTATCCCGGCCTGCTTCTGCTAGGGTGACAGGTGGTCACACCTGTAACCCCCAGGCCTTCGCTTATGGAGGACGGAGGTCGTTCTGCGACCTGGTCAACCAATGGTCGAATGCCTATGGCATTAGGTCCGCTCTATGCAATGTATTTGCAGAAAATATTAAAATAAAAATATAATCGTTTTTACCTGTTATGACTGGACTCATTTTTCTTAAAACTTTATTTAAAAGAGTCATACACTTTATTGTCAGTCCTGCGTTACCAGTGATTTCATAAATAAACCGTAAAAACTAAAATCTGCCTCGTAAATGATATCTGTTAAATACTTATGAGATTCGTTTTTCATTCATGAATTCCAAAGTTCCTTAAAAGCACTATACCGAAGGTCTTGAATCTCCAGCGTGACCTCTTTACACAAAAAGTCTTACTTTGCCGTGATCCTGTTCCATTGCTCAATTGCTGTAGGCTAGTAGTTTACGAAGCCGCCTATTTAAGACAGATTGTTAAATACTGTATGAATACTAATGAAGTCATATTTCTTCATTATCACATCATTAATATTATCATCATCAACATAAACTTGTTTAAAGGGTTCAAAATAAACTCCAAATAAATAAAACAAGTCTGTTATTTTCATTACATATAAAATTTAATTATCAAGTCAAAGGTAAACTCATGGTTATCACTAATAACAAGAAATATACAATGTCATATTGAACGAGTATACACCAATGCCAATGCAATCATATTTGACTCTTACTGCAAAAGCATAAGGTTAAGAATGTGTATTTAATAATAAGGATGATGTTACGTTTGGTTGCAACCAAAAGGTAGCACATATATCTAGAAATCTTAGAAGACTTCAAAAGAAGCAAACGAAAATACTCAAATTTAATTTCAAACATTCCGATACAATATTTAGTGCTAATTTAACTGAATATTAAATAATATTATTACATTATATTAACATTTAAGGCTACTAAATAGACTTACGTTATGGTAAGGCCTCTTAATATTAAAAAAAATAATTAAAATTATTGATGTTACGTTATAACCTTAAAAGCTTTTCTATTCAATTTTAATTTGAGGCAAAAACATATCGAGTACCTAGTATCTTGTTTTTTGTCCATACACAGGCGTCAAATACAATTTATCGAGTCGACATTTCATCCATTTCTACCTTCTCAAAAATATTTCGAGATTCAATATAAATTCGAGTTCTCAACGTAAACCTAACCAAATGGATTCATTTAAAATCTAAATACAGTGCCTCTACAAAAGCGAGGAATAAAATGTACAAATTAATTATACTCTATTACTTATTAATAGTAATAAATCGATTCTGAACTAGATAGTAGTAGTAGGATTAATAAAGACAATTTTGCTATAACTAAGTTTTTAGACCGTCATTGGCGTTAGGACTCGGCTATAGAAACTGTTTAAAATACTTAACCTTAAATTTTAGCACCACTACTTATGTCAAAATCAGGCTGACAGTGATATAGGTGGGAATGCCTTAGATAAAACACTTAAAAGCATTTTGAATACCATAAAATCGTTAATTATGTAACTTGTCAAATTTTGTTATTATATCCTGGTGTCTAATGTCTTATCACACTTTTTGCCTTCCTGTATTATGTAAAATATTGCCTGCATTTACTGTTCTACTGTTTAATATGTTTAAATAACTGCAAAATACTCGTCGAAAAGATTTTTTTTGCATGGTAACAATCGCTTCTTTTAACATCCCGTAGACCGTTATTTTTTCTTTGAGCTTAGTAATGAAATAACTTAAATATGAAATGTTGTCACTTTCGTAAAAGACAGCTGTTTTAGATTTTTATTCACTACTTAAAATATATTTAAATTAAACTGATTTTATTCGTATAAGTATTTGACAAGCTATAACATTTCAAATTATTAATTTGGTTTCGTAAAACAAACCGCAGCAGCTGTTTTTGATATGTCAAAAATTTATTTAGAATAACTATATAATATAATAATAGTCACTACACAAAAGATAAATATCCAACAAGAAACGCGACATTTAAGATGTACCCGCATTAATCACAACGAATGTAATAAATTAGTTTTTTAGTTTTCTTATCAATCAAACGCCATTGTATATACACATATACGTACATATATGACAAATATAGACAAATATATAATGCACCATAACTCGAAGTCAACATTTAAAACACTTCTTTCGTAAAAAAACGTTTTCGTTTGTCACACATATGTGACAATGGCGTTCAAAGGCTTAACTTTTGACCAAGTATTTTTAGGTAGTATTAAAAATGATCAACTTTAACAGCGACAGTATTCAAAGTGGTGGTGGCAGGCAAGTGTATTTGATCCCAGTCCGTGCTGAGATGTGCTTCGGTGTCTGTTGCTTTTATGGTAAGACCTAAGGACGGGACCGCATTAGCGCAGTGTGGTAACCGCAGGGTCACGGGCCTCAGGAACACCAGGCCTTGGGGCCCGCACATCACTAGTGGGGACAGCATCGCTTCACCTATAGTAACATTTTGATTAGTATAAAGTAATGGAGGCAGGTAACGCAGTAGACTTAACATGAGTTAACATGGTAATATATTTTCAAGCAATATTGCTCGTTAGTCGCCATCTTGCTTTATCTAGTTGGGGAGTAACGAAGAGAGGTAAAATAAGTTTTAGAAGTCCTTGATAGTTCCATTCAAACGAATTTGGAATTTGTTTAAAGTCAAGTAAGTCATGACAATAACTCATGTAAAGTCAACTGATTTATTTGAATTCGATCTTTAATTATTCAGGCAATTTTTTAAAAGGCATTTTTGCATAAATCGTGATTTTTAAATGATAATAATAGGTGAGGTAAGTAAAGATTAATAAAAATAAAAATAGTTAGATATTTCTTTTCAAGGGGTGCAAAAGTTTAAACAGACAGCAGACGATTGAGGGAAACTCGTACACAGTACAACATCGATTGAACACACAAACACAAATCGCGACACATTAATGCAGATTAGTAGTAAGACAGGCAAGCAAGCATGGCAAAAAGGCAAAAACAAAACTAAACATAAGGACAAAAACATAAATACATATGACTTTACTCAATGGTATTTAATACACAGATCTGTTTCACAAGTACGATGCATGTACATCACCTACAATTGTGCGTTATTTTTTAGCATTCGTTTTTGTACTCGTACATGTACCTACATTTACAAAAACCAATGCTGATAAAGTAGAAAGTATTTCTGTAAAGTAAACCGTAATGAGATTTTTATATTCTCAAGTTGGATTTTATATGACAATGGTTTTAGCTTTATACAATACGAAATTGATTTTGTTTGTACGCTTGCACACCAAGCTATTATCATGAAATTTTGTGTATTTTGTATAGATAAGAAACTCTCATTTAACTATTTTTCCTGAGGTATAAAAATAACTTCAAGAATAATAAAAGTATACAGTGATTACTATTATTTTTATATTTTTTATTATAATTTAATATTCTATTTCTAGTTATTAGTTGGTTTTAAGTATTCCAACCCCAAAAAACCAAACCAAAGAAAAGTTTTATTAGTAAGCTAATGGTGTTATTAATGGATTGTTTTATAGATCATACAGCACTGGTAAAGTTTTAAGAGAAAAAATATCATTCGTTATGCAATCTTAATACAGAGAGAAAATATAAGTGTGTATAAGAAATCTTGAATTGTTGAAATGAGAAACATAAAGACAAAAAAAGCGGTAAAAAACGTAACTAAACAATCTGTACAGTGCACAATTATAATTGTTAATTGAACGTACTATCACGATGGATGTAAGTAGCACAGTCGACGCCTTCGATGCTCGATCTCTAAGTACGAGTGCATTGTTTGGCAGAAACTGCATAAATATAAATAGAGTACACGGTTATACAACCAAAGTTAGTCTTATAAGTTAGTTTTACATAAATAATAATGATACTATGTGATATTGAAGCTTCTAAATCTGCGGTGCATGAATACAATTAAATAAAAATACAAACAAAAGATACGAGTATATATTATTCAAGTACGGCAATATTAAAAGCTGTTAAATATTAAAAAGAAATAGTTCATTTTAAACCGCGCATGCTGTTATGCAAAATATCATGCAATAATTAAACAATATATAAAAACTCCGTATAACAATAATCCACAACATCGAATCTAATTCGAGAACTAATTCCAAACAATCACAATCCCCAATCCTGTGCATTTCAACGCTAATCCATTCGCAAAATTATTAAATGCCAATTAGTATGTGCAGACTATGTCACTACCAGTGTACGCGTGCTTCATTATAAAAGCCTGTTTACCGTTGTCCATATCGATCGGAGGTCCCCCCACACGTTGGCTCAGTCGCGGATCAGACACCGTAAAGTAGATCTTTTGCTTGATTCCCGGGGCAATTGCTTTTGGTGGTATTATTAATGAGACACCCCACTGTCTATCTTCTAGAATGCCTCCTTCACTATCAAAAATCCCCCAGGTAGTATGAGGTCCATCCGGTTCCACTTCTTTTGGTTTAGCCTCAGTGGATTCGCTATCGTCAGACGTTATTGCTATCACTGTGTTTTGATTATCAATAACTGTAGTCTCATTTTGACTGTTTGACATACTTTGAGAGTTCTCTTGGCTCGTTTCTGTACTCCTTTCTAGTATCTGTTCACAAAACGTTACGCTTCTACTTGGTTTGCTAGATTTTTCAAGCAAATCTTGTGACGTATATGGTGTACTTTGAGGTTTATTTTCAAAGTTCATGCTACACTCGGATGCATATTGTGTTTCCATAGATGTCGTAGATTCATATGGAACCGGAGCAGTAGTTACTTTCAACGCATTGGAAATATGATCTGCTTTACCATGTAATCGGGGAGCATACATCGGTTCCCCTTTTAATATGTTAGTTTCCATATTTTTTGACTTTTGCTTCTCTGCGTCTGTCTTCGAATCTGTTAGTCTTAGTTTTGAAAAATCAATTTCCTGGAAAGTCTCCGTATCTACTTTAGTGTTTTCAGCTTCTGCTTTCGTCTGATATAATGGCTCTCTACGAGACAAGTGATTCGCATCACTGAGCTCGTAAGGACTACTTCTAGAACTGCTATGACTACTTCCTTGTTCTTCTGATTGTGCTACTTCTTTCGTTTCCTGTTGTGACTCATAGATTACACTCTCTTTCAAATCTCTTTTTGAAACATAAAGAGGTTCTCTAACTTTTGTAGAATCGCTTTCATTAGCTTCTTTTCTGGTTTGATAAATCATTTCTTTTTTCGCTTGATTTCTTTGCTTTATTATTTCTAACTTCTCCTCTAGCCTTATACTATACGAAGATTCTTTTTTAGCTAAAAATGCTGCTTTCTCTCTCAAAATTTCCTGTTTGGAAACATAAGTGCATTCTGCAGAGGCTGGTCTTCTCTCAGTTCTAACGTCCATTGCTTCAGAACGACTTGCATATTGAGAATCGGAACAACTGGATGTGACTTCAGCCCGCGTAGCGTATGGGGATTCTGTCTGCCCAATTCTAGCCATCATTTCTGTTCTGGTGGCATAAGGAGGTTCACTCATACATTTACTCATAGGAGATATTCTACCCGGAAAATTAACCGGTGTTTGTAGCCGTCTATCCGGTCTTATGCCATAAGAATTTTCAGTCCAAGACGTACTTGGTGGCGGATCGTAAGTTCTTTTACCGTAAGTAGGATCTTTAGAATTTTCCATTCTCTGCTTTAACAAATCTTCTTTAGTGCTGTAAGGTGATTCGGAAAATCTTTGTCGTAACATTTCTTCTTTAGTCGAATATGCACTGTCAGATGTAACACGTGCTCGTGACATATGTTCTTTACTAGAATATGGTGATTCACTGTAAAGAGAATCAGATTGTTTGGCAAGCTCCTGCCTGTTTGTATAAGGACTTTCAGTAAAATCGCTTCTGGTTCCATAAGGACTTTCCTTTATGACTTCGGTTCTCGTCGCGTATGGACTTTCTCTAGCGATCTCACTTCTAGTAGCATACGGACTTTCACGCAATACCTCTGTTCTAGAAGCATATGGATTTTCCCTTATCATTTCTGAGCGGGAAACGTAAGGATTTTCTCTAACACATTCGGATTTGGTAGCATAAGGGCTTTCTCTTAAACATTCAGATCTAGAGGCATAGGGCGAATCCATTAGAGGCAGATCTAAGGTTTGGCGGTTTCCATAAGGATTCTCAAAACTTTGGTTAGACATTTCTGATTTACTCGCGTATGGATTCTCAGAGGAAGTGTCATAAACTGAAGTATAGGTTCTACGAGGCTTAGGAATAGGGTCATAAACTATACGTTCTTTGCTTTGGTATACAGGTTCTGGAGGTAATGGCTGGGTAGGATGAAACGGTTCATGTTTTATTTGTTGCTCTCTTTGGTAAATAGGGTCTATTTTGGTAATCAAGTTAAAGTTTGTTGTCTGTCCGTAGATACCTCTCCTATTATACTCTATAAGGGAATTTTGTCTACGTAACAGAGGGGTAACTTTGGGTTCAGTTTCTATGTCACACATTGAATTCTGTCTCCTGAGACTTTTCACAACCGGTTTCATATCATAATCTCTGACGGTACATATAGACCCGTTTCTGTCATCACAAAATGAACTTTGCCTCTTTAGAATTGGTTTTAATACAGGTTTTTCACAAGAAGACGAATTACTTCTATATAACATTTGATTTCTAATTTGCTGGTTTCTCATATGTATACTCATATCTCCAAGGTCAGACTTCTCTCGTCTTAACATCGGCATTTGTTGAATATGAGGTCTCTGTTGTAAGTCGCTCTCGCAAAGTGACTTTTGACGAGACACCTTTTGGGAATTTTTGGTTTTCGAACGGAATAAATCGAGAACGGCATTTTTAATAAACGAAGGCTTTTTAGATAATTTCTTTTTAGTTTTTCGTGAAAACGTCTCGTCCCGCTCCACACTTGAGTTCATGGCATCTGATGAACTGCGGACACCCATAACCAAAGACCCACTTAGTTACTCAAAAACAAATATTTGGACACATCAGATTATCAACATTAGTAAGAAGAAATATTGAGAAAGTACTACAATATTAAATAATATTGAAACCTCTGAAATGTCCGAATGAGTGTGACAATTTTCAATAAATGAATTTTGTGATTTTTTGAAAAGCATATTGAAATAATAATCATGAAGTATTAGAAGAAACATAATAATTACTATATTATAAAGAGAAAAATACATACCGTATGAAGAAATCTTTTAAGAATAATAAAATAGGATCTTAAGAATGAGAGATTGATCGAGAGATTTGATAATAAGTACATATTGAATGAAAAAGAAATCGAAATGACATACTTAATTCAATATGCTTTTATAACATAGTCAAGTTGCACTAAAATGCAGACACGCACTGCCAATAGTTTGTTCCGCAACAAACAACAACTAAATTACAATAATGTTATTTCAATATTACAATGAACAGACGCCCCGATATAGAGATATATGTTACAAATACATGTATTTATATACCACATACAATACCATACTAATACTGTGACCCGACAAGACAATGTTAGTCGTTTGTGAAGCGATTGGTGTTTGCATGTTAGAGCAAATTGTACAGGGGCTTATACTTTACTGGAGCTGAGAGAATGTTTCTGAAACATGCATTTTGTCTTCAACAGAGATATTTAAACATTTTATAGAATGAGCGATTTGTGAGTTTTTAAGATTCTATTGAAATTGTGTACAGTAAAATATAATTAAGACGCAGAAAACACTAGTCACACACAAAAGCTTACCTTAAGTTATGCATGTGTTGTTGCGGTTTTCTATAAAGCTCGAATGCAGAACCTCTTTGCTCTCTGCTACCCGCTAAATCTATGAACAAATAATTTGCATTAGAGGTAACCATTTTATTTCGTCACTTATGTTACGAATGATTTTACTTATATGATATATTTTTCTAGCACACAGGAAACTATATGCTAATAAGTAACATAATTATGGTTCTTTAAGTATGGAAGAGGGGGCAAACGAGCAGACGGGTCACCTGATGGAAAGCGCCTACCGCCGCCCATGAATGCATGCAACTCAGGAGTCACAAGCGTATTGTCGGCTTTTGAGGAGTACGTTCTTTTCTTGAAGGTTTATTATTTATATGTTTAATTATGTGTCCATTATACGTAACAGTTACAATTAAGAACCTATTCATAAATACATGGTAAGACTTATTTGATTGAAGATAATATTCCACGTATCTACGAGGGGTGATCAATAAGTAATGATAATCAATATGAAACAGAAATATTAGATTAAAAAAAGTATTTTATTTTTCAACATAGTCTCCTTGCAAGTTAATACATTTAGTGTATCTTTTTTCTCAGCCCATGATTCCCTTAGAAAAAAAATCTTTGTCTTGACCCTCCCAAAATGCCTCTACTGCGGCCATCACTTCACTATTGTCCTCAAATTTGTTGCCCCGGAGGTGTTCTTTGAGCCGAGGAAAGAGGTAGAAGTCACTGGGAGCTAGATCTGGCGAATAGGGAGGGTGTTCGAGCAGTTCGAACCCCGTTTCTTCAATGGCAGCCATCGCAACTGCGGCTTTGTGAGCCGGGGCGTTGTCTTGGTGAAACAGCACTCCAGCGCGCAGTTTACCGCGTCTTTTTGACTTAATAGCTTCTCGCAATCTTCTTATTTGGCCTGCGTAGTAAGAGCCTGTTATAGTGGCCCCCTTTTCCAAATATTCCACCATAATAATTCCTTCTGCATCCCAGAAAACAGACGCCATAACCTTTCCCGCTGAACTTGACACTTTGAATTTCTTCGGCGTTGGTGAGGAAGCTCGTTTCCAAGTCATTGATTGTTGTTTGGTTTCGGGATCAAAGTGGTGGATCCAGGTCTCGTCCATGGTCACAAAACGCGACAAAAAAATTCTTTATCGCCCTGGAACTTTTGAAGATTCACCCTCGAAATGTCGACTCGTTTCTTTTTTTGCTCGTCGGGTAACATTCTCGGTACCCAACGCGCAGAGACCTTTTTCATATGCATTTTGTTGACAATGATTTTTTGAACGCTGCCATAGGAGATCCCTGTGACCTCAGCTACATGCCTTACGGTCACCCTTCAATCGGCCAACACGATATCTTCCACTTTTTTGACGTTTTCTGCAGTAAGGGACGTGGAAGGGCGTCCCTCGCGATGTTCATCTTCAGTGGAGGTTCTGCCCAGCTTAAATTCCTTTACCCAGCGTGCGACTGTCGAATATGGAGGAGCAGACTCCCCCAATGTTTCCTCTAAGTCGCTGTGTATGTCTTTGGTAGACATTTTTTTCAGGCAGAGGTACTTGATGACAGCTCTTATTTCATTTTTCTCCATTTTGATGTTTTCTCTTCGACAGTTCGTATTCAAATGAATGTATCTCCCGGTAATGGTGTCCTATTTATACATTTTTTTGGAGCTGAAGTAGTGGATATATAAGCAAGCAGAAAAAAAATAATTTGGGTTTTTGTGCGTTCTAGAAATACTCGATTATCATTACTTATTGATCACCCCTCGTATAAGTGGAAAATTGAGGATAATTAATATTTTTTATGTCAAAGTTGGTGATGCTTTTTTAAGTAATTTTTATACTATATACATTTTTTTTACACTTTCTTTAATTTACTTTTAAAGTTTTTATTAATTGTGGTATTCGCATTTGCACCTCTAAATTTTTGTTCAAAAACATATTTATCGAGTGTTCGTCATTCATAGCCTTATTTTTATATAAAAATAATCCTATCCAAATATGTTTATAACGTAATGCATACGAGGTGAAATTCTATTAAATAAATGCGATATTTGGGCATATGTTTAAAGAACACTCACCTATAAGATGTGGGTTGTGTGGCAGGTTGATGGCGCGGTGGTGTGATGGAGGGCCCGAGTACGGAGGTGACTGTGGAGGCATCTGCCCACCATACATATTCTGTAAAAGAAACAATGTTTTGTATAATGCTAAATATAATGACTTCTTCCAGAGAGAGAGGGGAAGGGAGGAAGAGGGAGAGAGAGAGGGGAAGGGAGGAAGAGGGAGAGAGAGAGGGGAAGGGAGGAAGAGGGAGAGAGAGAGTGTAAATGTGAGAGAGAGTGTGGCTAAGAATTTCAGGCAAGAGCTGAGTAGAGTCACAGGTACGCGACCCTGACACGCTCCAGGTATAACTTATGTTACATTCCCCAAATCTATAAAAGTAATAGGTAGAAAATCTTAATAATACAATTTTTATGTGTGTCATCTTTCCTCTCGCTTTGCTGTAATCAGTGGAAGAGTTTTTTTGTGAAAAGGGACGGAAGTGTGTAACGTGAAGTCAGGGAAGCGCGCGCTATTTGATATCATCAATGAGCGTGCGTGGTGCTTGAGTTGGCTATCAAATGGTGGGTTAGACATCAGATGTTACACGTCATTTGAGACTACTGTAAAACTCGCTCTTTTTTATGCTAACTTTACTGTGAAAACTAAAGATTTACAGGTTGTTTTAAGTACATTACATTTTATTTGGGGCTTCCAATATCTACTCATCATCATCTTCCTATCGTTTTCCTATATTTATTTGGGGTCGCTGCAATGAGTTTTCATCTTCCATTCTTCTTGATCACTCACATCCTTCTTCACGCACTTCTTCATTTTATTAATAATAATATTGTACAATATTGCAATAATAATGTTAGTAACCCTGACTGTTAAACCGGAGGTTCGATTCACACCCAGGACAAATATTGTGTGATGAGCACGGTCCTTTGTTCTGTGTCTGGGTTTAATTTATCTATAATATGTATGTATTAAGAAATACATAAGTATGTCTATCAGCAGTCTGGCCCAAGGCACAGCTTCGTCTAGTTTGGGATCAGACGGCCGTGTGTGAGATCTAATATATTATTTAAAAAAAAAAATATATATATATTTATATAAAATAGGTGATAGTATAGTGACAGATACCTGTTGGTAGTTATTGTGGTTGTGTGGCCTGTGCGCGGGCTGCGACACTGAGTGCTGGTGCGAGTAGTGCGGCGCGCCCGGGAACGAGCTCGCGCCGCCCGCCCCCGACACGCGAGGGGGGGGCGCGCCCGACCCTGGGGGCGGCTCCATGCTCTGGGGGCGCAAGTGGACAGTTAGTTAGATTAGAAGACTCTAGGTGTAAGTGTAACATTTTTTCCTGCAATTCGCTTTCGGGACGGAAGTGTGTAACAGAAAACCGGGGAACCTGACGCAATAGTGAACGCTCCTACGACTGCCTGATTTTGGCCATCAGATGATGTTAAAGTATAGCAGTGTGCTGTATGAAATAGGGCCAAATTTCCTGAGTCATTAATGTATGTTAGAGACTATAGGATGTATGAGGTAGTACTATGTCAATAAGTCAGAGGTCTTTACTTTAGAGTTGTACATAAAACTTTTTATGACTTTCTTGTAAGTCTATTTTAATTGATGTACAATATAAAGTATATTTCTAACATATTACTTATTTAAAAATAACTATTTTATACTCTTCAAGAAATTGTCTAACCATATGATTTGATATTATTTTCGTCAAATTCTTTTTATTTGGAAAAGCAAGCATTAAAAGTAACGATTTGACAATAGCGAATTGTGACGTCACAAGTTGTCATTACACAAAGTTTATAAATAACGTTTCATTTTAATGTTTAATAAAAATAAATCAACAGCTATATTGTAAATGTGAGATAGAGACATGTGTAGACACAATAGAACTTACTCCATTTCTGGGATGGTGTGAGTTGTCTGGTGGCCTGTAGTGCTTGGGCTTGGGCGGCGGGACGGGCTTGTACGGCGGTACTGGAGCTCCGCCACGCCCGCCGTAGTCCGCTTGAGACGCCGAGTTCGTACGGCCGCTATGGAAAATAAACAAATTAACAACTTTAAATTAAAAATAGGAATTATTCATGATTATCAACAATTGTGGACTGGCTTCAATAATCCAATGTCTAGTGGTTAGCGATCATGTAGGTTTTTTTATATGAAAGAGCAGGCAAAGGAGTAGACGGGTCACCTGATATAAAGTGACTAATACCGCCCATGAACGCCTGCAAGTCAGGAGTCACAAGCGCGTTGTCTGCCTTTTAGAATGGAGGTCGAACGGTAAGGGAAATACCACAGACAATAACTTATTCCACGGATTGGTTGTGCGAGTCATAAAGTGTCTTTAAAAACGCACAGAACGATGGCGGAAAGTTACGGCCGTTATTAGTCCGATTTATGATTTATATGATAGAGCATGCAGAGTGAAGCTACATCTCTACGTAACGCCAAGGGATCGAGCCGAGGTTAATCGTAGTAATAAAAAATAATTAGTTAATCGCTAGTCTTAGTAATACTTTACTACGAGAATACCTTTTATGACAAATACATAAAAGATCGGTAAAATTTGAAAATGAATATGATTGACTGTCCGTGTGGTGACAGATTAAGAGTACGGAGTGTCACCACCTCTATTCATCCCGTGCGTGTCGTAAGATACGACTAAGGGAGAAAAATACGCAGGACGACAGCACTGCAAAGAGAAGGAAAACTTGACATAAATCCTATGCCAACCCGTCTGGCCAGCGTGGTATAGTAGGCCCAAACATCCTTTCTAAGGAGAGGCCTATGTCCAGCAGTTGATGATGATTATAATTCATCACCAACTATTACATAAGTAAGACTAAAATTATAATTGACAAAATGTAAATTGTAGTCACTTACTACAATTTATCACGAAAAATATAAAAGCTTTGTAGGCATTGGACAAAATCACAGTGAACTGTGAAAGACCGGTGATTTATCATTCGATTTTTTCGTACGTAGGTTAGATTAGCTACTTACTCAATAAGGTATTTTCAGACGATGCATAAAAACCCTATTTCACCTATTTAACAGTCAATCTAGTAATTATTTTATTATATATAGCTACCATTCCCTACATAATAATTAAATTAATAAATAAATTACTAGATTTACTGTTAAATAGCGTTTAAGCTAAGTACCTAGCAACCCTAACCTACGTACGCAAAAATCGAATTATAAATCACATTGTCCCATGTCTACTTTATAATGTTGCACTCCTTTGAATCTTCTCTTCTTCCTGCCATAGGAACAGTCAGCAGTTTTATATTTGAAACTGATAAACAGCAAGGCATAACTAAAATAACCTCTTTAGAATATAATCGTTTCCCAAATAATAATCCTTTACAAATAAGAAGATAAAAAATAAACAAACCTGTATTTGGCAAGGTCATTCGTAGGTACGTTAGGTAACGAGGGTCCTCGCGCGTGCATTGGTGTATGCGGACTAATCCCATTCATAGGCGGGGGCCTATTCGTCTGAGGGCTTCGGTATTCAGGAGCCCTAAATAATAAAACACACACTTCACTAAATTACAACTATATTTTAAAACAACTATACCTAAATACTGTAAAATATTTAGTTTATGTCGACAACCTAAACTGTTCGAAGGTTCATGTAAAACTAAATTTTTTTTTAGGTTTGGAAAGCATTTGGAACAAAACAAAGGACTTGGGACCAACTTGAATGTAGGTACGTATCGCTTCTTCTATTGTCTCCGAGAAATTATTGTGAACGTATAGGCCCATTGTTCGGAATGAGTTTTTGTTAAAGACTATGTGCATTGTTGTTTTAATCTGATAACGTGGTATTTTGTGACGAGATTTTGACTTCATTTCAACTCTAATGTTAAATTTAAATGATTTATGAAAACTCTATCAGCGACACAGAACATTGCTTTGCTTGATATATGGCCCAACTCCGGTCCACGTTCACGTTGAGTATAATAATATTTATATTTGTAATACTGTAAACAGCTTTTACGAAACGATTTATTCTAATGCAGGGATAAGATCCTACAAAACACAAGAACTAGAAAATCGATCAACAAAAATAGTTAAATATAATACTAAATACTAAAATATTTAAATATTACATTGGTCGTCATTTCATCTGCACATAACATTCTTTAGATATATCTTCTCAAAAATACAGATATGATAATATTTTACATCCCTAAACATGCGAACGTATTGGTCTGGCATATAAATATCATCCCTTATGTTGCCCCATCTCTGCTCCAGAATTAATCCAAATTGGTTTAGGGTTTTAGGTGTATAAGCGTGAAAAACAAAACTTACCTATAATTATTATTATCAGGCCCTCTGTACTCCAAAGAGTTGTGTTCGTGTGAGTTGGAATTTCTTTGCGGACTCTGTATCATATTGCTCTGAGACATCGCAATTGGGTTCGGTGGAGGTGGAGGTTCCATTTTACTAAAAAATAAATCATAAATTAAGTATTTTATGAACATTTAGGTAACTTAATTATTTACATATCCTGTTTTAAGGAAGTTGGAAAAATGTGGCCGTTTAATGTGGCCTGTCTACCCTATCGATAATGAATATAAATGCTTTATAACGTCGGACTCCCATGAATTTATTTTCCAGAAACAGTCAGCAGTTACTGTTTACTGTTTTACTCGCAGTTTCTGTTTTATGTTTTCATCATCATCAACAGCCTGTAATAATCCACTCCTGGACATAGGCATCTCCTTAGAAAGGAGGTTTTGGCCTATTATACCACGCTGGTCAGGTGGTCAGGTGCTTTGCAGTGCTGTTGTCCTGCGTAGTTTGCTCCCTTAGTCGTCTCTTACGATACACATAGGATGAATAGGGATGGTGACAATTCGTATTCTTAATCTGTCACCACACCCCCAGTTTATGTTTTAGTTACTGTTTTATGTTTTTATTTCTACGCACTTGTGACTTTTAAGTGGCAGGTGTCTATGGACGACGTTAGTCACTTATTATCAGAAGCCCAAGTATGAATTAATTTAACATCAACTCGCTGTCGACGGTGAGCGCGTTTGGCGTCGCGATTGGTGAAGATTTCAAATGCGGGCCAATCACAATGCCGAATGCGCTTGCCATCGAAAGGGAGTTGATGTTAAATAAACTTGAACTAGGGCCACAGGTGACCTGTCTACTCGTTTGCCTGCAAAAGATAATCTTTGATGCTGTAGTTAGCTAGGCTATGCTATAAACTTTTTTAAAGGTTTTTTTAATGATTATGCAATCCTGTAATAATGCTATACTTACATGGAGGGCGGAGCGACTTTGAGGTCGTCAGGCGCGTTGGGCGGCAAGCGGCAACCTGCGCTTGCGCCGCTGTTGGCCGCGCCGCCGTACTCGTACGGGGAGGAGCCGTCGTACGAGCTCTGCTGTCGCACATACCACAGAACAAACATCAATATATTTTTATTTGTGACACATTTTCACACTAATACATGGTTAGATGTTTAACCACACAAATATAACGATTCTTTCGGCCTAAAACAAATTCTTAAAGTCTTTTAAAGTATAATCAACTTTAAAATAATATCACTGACTTGCTGCGCCTACGAGTACATCGTAAGGAAATGTATTAAACTGTCTTTTTTATTGCTGTCATTTTCAACCAATAGAAGTTTTATTTTTTTCTTCACGTGTAGTATACCCTCTTAAATAATAATAAACGGCGTGAGGGGTGTATGGACTCCCGGTCGGAACGAAATTTCTTTCATGTTTTGGTAGACGTTTGCCATAGTGTCGGAAAAAGCTATAGTGCCTTCTTGCTACACATTTTTCAGTCTCGCTCTCATCCGCTCAAAGCGTGTAAAGTACGATAAGGAACTTCGTTCCAAATGTATACTTGCTATTGCGAAAGAATTGTGATCTTACTTGATTGTTCGGATGTCGATGCCTATCCAAGGAGCCTTGTCCTTGCGTGGGCTGTATGATCATGCTGGTGGGCCGCGCGGTGTACGTGGCCGTCTCGTCGCTCCCCGCCTCTTTAGGGGGGCCGAACAAACGCTCCTGGGCGCTAGGACGACTTGCCTGATAAAGATTTAATTTAGTAAATATATACTTAACCTCCTTTCTAAGGAGAGGCCTATGTCCAGGAGTGGACTATTAAAGGCTGTTGTTGTGATGATGTGAAATATATACTCTTAAGACATTAATAAATTATCGGACTTAATGTCCCACAAGAGACAGAAAGAACGGGAATTTCGGCAAAAAACATTATCAATCAAAGGCACAAATAATGAAAAAATCCCATATTTAGAAGATCCGAGAGATAAGAGAAATTGAAAGGGAGGATTTCCCAGGACCGAGAAAATTTTCGTCTTATAATATATTGTCATATTTAATATTCCATTGGTCAAAACGCTTCACAAAGAAAAATCTTCAATTTTTATAAATTAGCTATCTTACTCAAATGCTCTACGTAAAGAAAAGCTTTCTTCAAAAGAGACATGTGATGCGTTGCCCCTTTCTGGGTGTGACTATATTTAGACCGATAGTCACGTAAAAAATGGGCATAATTAAAAAATATAATGCATTTTTGGCAAGGCCTATGTCCAGCAGTTGACTGCGATAGGCTGGGGTTACTTACCGGTGGATTATGTCTTAGGCTGTGTCCAGGATGTCGACCAGGCGGTGGGCCCGGTAACAGCACTCCACCTGCCGGCCGGGTCACTGGCCCTCGCGGGGGAAGCTCTGGGACTGACAAACAAAATAGATTACTTAACTTACCAAAAATGACTTACAATCTGACAATATGTCGCTGTCACCACAAATAATTATTTAGTTTATTATATTAAGTGGTCACCACAGATATGTACCTAATGTGTATAATATGCATGTTTTTCTGTTGTTGTTAATCTGGCTTTCATAGTACAAGCTCTGCTTAGTTTGAAACTAGATGGCGTTGTGTGTCAATGTCCGAAAATTTTATACTTTTATATTATAGACAAAACAGAGAGGTAAGGTTCTTTCAACCCTCTTTTTTTTTCATTTAATAAATTATTTGTTTCTGATGTTTTGAATTTAGTCATTTCTAATTACCATAAAAAAAAATTGTTTCATTATAAAACGATGATGATAAGGCTGTTAATTGCGTATTATAAGCACAATGACTAACGATTTGATTAAAATCGATTTTAAAAGTGACTTAAAGGTAAGACATTTTTACCTTAATCTTTTCACAGAATACATAAAACTTCTTGTACCTATTTATTCTTTTAAAAATACAACTCCAGCACTAGGAATATATCTATCTTGTGTCGTGGGGGACATTTCGGACATGCTTGAAACGGGCACATAGAACACCCAGACTAAGAACAACCATTTGTGGTTCACATAAAGTGTTGTCTTATGTGGGGATCGAACCCACAACACTCAGCGCAGTAGGAAGCGGCGTGGTAACCGCTTAAACGACTACGTCATCCGTGCAGTATATGACCCAAAAACACAAGTATAGCTCCTGTCAACAAATTACCTGTTCCATATAAGGGTGAATGTGGAGGCGAGTGGGTCATGGGGTTGCACTGGTAGGGAGGCGCCTCGTTATTACCGCTCATATGTTGTCCTTGGTTATGGTTCAGACCATTGGTGGTCGCACCATTCGTGGTCGCTGCGAAGCCGTATTTGCTGTCTCCGTAACCGCCTTGCTGTTAGTGCAAATATAGACTTTTGAAAAAAAAAAACCGGGTCTCTGAACCGGTTGAACTAAAATGTCAGGTCTGCCACCACCAAAACATGGTGTAAATGACTTCACAAAACCCAATTTTCAATATCATATTACATAATGAAAAGGATAATTTATTAACACATAAATGGAAATATTCACGGATTTTATTAATATATATGTCTGTTTTGCTCGTAAATGGTTCATGATGTAATAAAACAATAAATCTAAATACAAACCGTATAAGGCGGGGGCACAGCATCGGCCATATGATTCATATCGTCATCTCTGTCCATATTGTCTTGAGTCGTTGCTATGGAGGGGTCGGACGACGACTTCATGAGTCTCGGAGCCGGCGGCGGACTCACTTCCAAGTCACTCTCAGGACTCGAAGCGTACGATAGCCTGTTCTCTGTACTCGACGACATTGAGAACAAAAAGTCGTCGGACAATGGCTCAGGCCTCTGTTCCCATCAATTTTATCATCCGCCGATTAGCAAACGTCCGCCATTTTGTAGTTTCGGCCATTTTGTTGTACAGCGACGTCCGGTAGGGTGGGTTATGGAATGGGGTGATAAGACAAGACAAATGAATGATTGCAAATTATAAATTACAGAAACTAAAAACGGGGTTTAGTGTCTGTGAATTATGATTAATGGTATTTGGGTTCTTTACACACGAAAATCGATATTCAAATGACACTAGTTTATAGTAAACATAGTTATTATCTATTCTAATAAATTTAATAATCTATAAGTATTGATTATTATTAGGTGGGAGAATAAAATATTTACTGATAAATCTTTGGTAACAAAACAGTAATTTGGCACATAGCATCTTTTAAATTTAAAAAGCTGTCATTTGAATATCGATTTTTAAAAAGGTGGTATTTAACACTGGTATTGTGACAATATTTACAAAAAAAAAAACACACTTTGAATAAAATCTTTGGCTAAAACTAAACCATAATTATACAGAATATAATACATATTTAAAGATACACAAACAGTGTAAGCAGATTAATATAAAGCACATAAGCAGCCAATATACAAATAACAAGCTATAAATAAAATAGTGATTACTTGTGCTAAATCTAATGTGGTAACTATGTTTTTGTAAGTATTACTTTTGACGCTAAACATATCCTAAATGCTGCTCAGATATGGGTTTACTCAGGACAGGAAGGACATCTCTTTCTGCCTCATTCTTAGCCTCTTGTTCAATCTTTTCAATCTCCTCTAACTTCAAAGTTGGAAGTGATAGATTTTTAAATTTATTCAATGACCTTTCGGAGACTGTGGGTAAAGTTCGTACTTCGCTGAACCGTCCAGTCCCCACTGCTGGTTTCACACTACATTTGCAATTAGGGATTCTACAGGTCTGCCTGAATGGTTTATCGAGAGTTTTGAATAGAGGTCTTGGCATTTCTTTTTGGAGTCGCGCCTTCCATTCAGGTACCTCGTTTGTCTTTTTTATTTCATTATCTGTGGTGAAGAATGAAGCCGGTCGGTATTGTTCTGTGATTGGAACTACCGACGAAGGTCGAGGTTGACTCTGTACGGGAGACCTGGTAGTAGTAGTTTCGAGGACACTATACGGTCTGAATGTTTGAGGCGCGTAAACATTGCCTTTGGAATAAAATTGAGTGATCTCGGGTGAGGCGTTCAAAGGTGTTTTCAGTTTTGGGCTTATTTTTCTATGATAATAATTCTGCCCATCGTCGTATGGGTAATTTGCAAGGGTGTGTCTGTTATTAGTAGGGTATGTGTTTGGCACACTGTACGCATTGTTAGGCATGCAAGGGGTTAATGTTTCCGAATAGTAATAAGGCACTACATGATTCCTGTTAGCGTCATACAAATGGTCGTGATGTTTAGTGCTAGGGTTAAGGTTTAATGGGGGTAAGTTCTGGGGTGAACTGACAGGTCTTTGGGGTGATGGGGGGTATATGTTCAATGGGTAGGATATAGGGTAGAAGGCTGGGTATGGAGATGGGGGTACGGGGAAGTATATGTCCGACACCATTTCAACGTGCTATACGCCGCAAGACAGAACAGAAACGAATTGGTTAATATAATGATATATTATGATATGTGGATACAACATAAATTAATGTTATTATTTTGAGTCAAAATTATTACAGTGCGGATTAGCAATAGCCTTGTTTGAAGGTAATAAAGAGGACGATATACACTTTTCTCTGTACCTAAACTAATTTCAGACTTCTTAACTGACTTCTGAAAAACAAAGAGGTTCTCAATTCAGATGTTTTTTTTTATGTTTGTTACCTCTATACTCAGTCATTTATGAACCGACTTAGAATCACCCTTAAGGATGTTTTTTTGGAGTTTGAATTCTTCACCTGCATCCTGATGAACTTTAATAAAACTTGATTTCGATGATACTTTTTTAAAAGTCAATTACATCGACTAACGTGAAACAGATATTTTATAGTACTTCTCAGAAAGTATCCTACCGTCAACAATGTTCTCATTGCTTATAATATCTACAACTTAGCCTCCCTGGCACATATCATGTTATTAACTCAGGTCAAAGGAGTTAAATTGGAATGAAGTGACGACGGTTTATAAACATATATGCATAGGTCCATTATTCGAGGTTATTAATTAACAGCCATTACTTTGCCATCAAAGGCTTTATCCTCGATGATCTTTGATATCAAACCATGTTGTATCCACAATGTTTGCACATTAAATAAATAACAAATATACTAGAAACATAAAGAGCACATGACGTTTACCAAATGCACCAATTTGCCTTTACCAAGCAACCACCTTGAAGCGTGATGCGTTAACTGTTGTCACTGACGAATATGTTTTTTTATGAATTAAATTAAGAAATAGTATGAAAGAAAATTATAATATAGAACTACATAATTGTTTTGTTATAATACATTGTAATCAAAAACTTGTTAAGAAAATAGAATTCTAATTACAAATAACCCGCGTTGGGTTAAAATAAAATAAAAAATACAATTCTAAATTTAAATATAAAAGTATTGTGATATTATCATTTTTTTTTTATTTATGAAAAAGTTTTAGTTTCGTTGTTTTTTTTAAATTTCGAACACATCTTATAACAAAACAAAACTTCTTTTTATTCTGAAATTTAATTGAATGATAAAATCATAAGGTATAAAATAAGCGCTCACCTTGGTTTCCGACACCCAAAGTTGTTGTTGCTGGGTCCTCTGTATGAGGTCGTTAAGCTTACTGAACCAGGTGTTCTGGTTAGCTTCGCTTAGTGTAATGGTCTGTGTGAAAACATGACCCCACACTCGCTCCATGTGTTGGCACTGTTCTAGAAGTTTCTTTGAAGATTTGTGGGCGGACCTGGGAATAATAAATAGTTTTTACATTTATTAAAGTGCACCAAAGCTTTTTTTTAAAAAGATAACTCCCACACTAGGAATATGTCCTGTGTCGCGGGGGACCTTACACACATGAAACGGACACAAAGAACGCCCCGACTCAGAACCACAATTTGTGGATCACACAAAGTGTTGTCCCATGTGGGGATCGAACCCACAACACTCGGTGCAGTAGGAAGCGGCGAGATGACTGCATAAACCACTTGGCTATACCTCATACAGTCTTGCTTGTAATCAGCTCAGTGTTAATGAGCAAGTATTTTTAAGTTTGATTTCCACACAGAATTAACTGAAAAGGAGATTTTTGTTTTAATACTGCTACGATAGTAAACAAGGTGTTTGCTGCATATGCTTCGCATATAAGTGTCGAAAACATACGACTCTACTACGAAACATAAAAGAGTCATCTCTTCATTTCTTTTAACTCAATCTGGCTAAAAAAGGTAGTCTTGGCTTTAAATAGACATTTTATTGATAAACTTACTTTGGCAACCCAGCTCTTAGCTGTTTAATGATATGTTTATTATCTGCTTTAAGGAATATGACTATAGGGTAGAACTGTGCGTAGTTAAGTCTGTCAACGGCGTTAGGAGTGATGTCTAGGAGGGCGTGCTTCCCTCTCTCCATGATGCTCCTGATGCTGGACAGCCGGATAATTCCAGTAGACTTCGTTTTACTGTCTTCTAACGAGCTGTCCATTTCTGGAATAAATATAAAGTCAGTACTTTATTAAATCGTTCTATTAGTAATTAATTTCTTTAAATACTTTCTTCGGTTTTGAAACCATTAAAATAGTGTCTCTCGTAGTATTTATATAACCAAATATATATAGGGGCGTGGAAGTGACGAGACAACGGTATAATTTTCGATTTGGATAACCATTTAAGGCCTTGAAAAAAACAGCTTCAAGTTGACCTGAATTAACTAATAGAAAAAAACTAGAGTCTGCGGTATTAGTTCATTCTGGAGAAAGGGTCTTTTGTCCAAAATAGTTTGGGGAATCCCTGATTTAGATGATGACGTCATAATTAAAACCCATTTAGGAAGTTAGTTTATCCCCAAAGTGTCGCTCCAAGTAAGGGCAGCAGTACTCACTGGGCGAGGAGAAGCTGTCGGGGCTCTCAGTGAGCAGCCTCTCGCGCGCGATGTCAGCGACGGCGCCGAGCACGATGACGGGGCGCACGAAGCCGGGCTGCTTCAGCACCACGCGCTCGTACGCCGGGAACTTGCTTATGCTGTCCGACAGAACTACCTCGTCCCAATGCTCCTACAAAAACATAGCCCAAAAATATTATGATTGTTTTAATTTTATACGCTGCTTTGTTGAACTTGCAATAATTTCCCCTTGTAAGAAGGTAGGAATTTTAGATTCAAACCGGATCTCGAACTCGGTCTTGAATTTGTACTGCTTTTGTGTAAAGCTCTAAGCAAGACCTGTTCAGGTGGAGATTCATAGATGACTCTGCCCTGGAGTGTAAATGTGGTCTTGCCCCACAAACTATGGGGCACTTGATATCGTGTCCAGCCTGTCCTGTTACTTGCACATTACAGGAACTGATGGAGGCTACTGAAAGTGCCGAACTCGTCGCCAAATTTTGGGCCGACTCAATTTGAATTGTCATCGACACGCTAAGAAGAAGAAGAAGCAAGAATATGGGATCTGGATAACTGCCCTGTAGATCGGTATAAAATCACCAAAATTATGGGTAACCAAAAATAAATCTCTGCCTACGATATGTGATATTTAACAATATGTATAGAGTTTAATATTTAGGTATTATGAATTTCAACGTATTTATAAATTAACGTCGCTTGCTTTAACAGTAGGAGAACTAGATAGAAATAATCATCCAGCGAGTGCAGTACTATAATATTAATTACCTGTCATATCTTACATGGGGCAGTTTGATCTTAAACTAGGCTGAACCTGTACAATAATAACCAGACTACTGATAAACATTCATAGGTACGCTCACGTCATTCATCTCTGAAGGGATAAATAGAGGCTAGTTATAACGCGTACATATGATATGATAAACTTGATTTTTTTGTTTAAGATAAACTACACCCCGACACAGAACAAATGATCTTATTATACAATATTTGTACCGGGTAGAAAACGAACCCACAATAGTCAGAGTCTAAGATAACCTAATCTAAACACTAGATCAACAAGCCCATCAATTAATTCAAGAAGGCAAAAATCAATGAATGATGAATTAGGGGCAGGTAAAACCTGTAGAATCAGAAAGTGGAAAGGGTGAATATAAGTAATTAAATATTACCTTTCCTAAACTTTTACTTCTTCTATGTGTAGACCGTCTTCTCCTGAAAAAGTTATGTTTTCCCTCGTTGCCAGATATCTCCTTTTTGGTAGCGTTAAACTGCGCCGTGGCCAACTCTTCAGCGCGAGCCTTGTTCGGGATCGTACCCTTCTGAACTTCTTGGTTCGTGCGGCCTGAACACACAATTATTTAGAATTATTTATTTACATGACATTAACATGGGTCTTGTCAGTAATTTTTGTTCCTTTTACTTCTTAATGATGAATAGATTTGAGTAAAAATTGAACAGAAAATGAACATCATTATAAATTGTTGTTAAATGATTGTTGAACTAACCTATCCTGTAGACTTGCCAAGCGCCGACAGTCCCATTGTGCAACGTATCCACAACATGAAACACGTCGCCACATCTGAATGACATCTCACCGTCCGTCGGCTCCGTGTAGTGGAAATGTGTCTTTATGTGAAAGCTATCACCCGCTGAAATAAATTTTATAATAAATATTAAATGAGTGTAGCTCAGTTTCAAATGACGATGCCCCCGCCAAGTCCAGTAAAAAAACAGACACAACCATAATATTTTTAACTCGAAGCCATTTAGCATAACTTTTACAGTTGGATATTTCAGATAAGTATTATATGTTTGATGAGATCATTTAAAATAGGTATATAAATGTAAAAAAAATGGTACCATTGTTGTAACTTGTTTATCTGTAGCCGTCAGGCCTTAGTGCAAAATACTACATAATATTTATATACGTTATTTCGTCACGAAGACAGTATGACGATGATAAATGAGAGTCTGGGGAGTCCTAACTCTCGCAAGATTTATGTTTCTTAGTCATCACAGTTTGTTTTCAAATATACATGTACTTATTTAAAAAGCGAGCCTTTAAATTCCTGAAACACTTATTCTATGTAGTTAGCTCTTTTGGGCCTGGGTAAGAACAAGTTGGTCGTATCGTTCAAAAGGTTCGCTTTTATCTTATAGACGAATTCTTTAGCACATATGACGAAGCGGCACCAAATTCTACATGAACAAAGTAATTAGGAAAAAAGAAAAGACTGCGTAAAACAATTATAACAAAAATCCCACAATTAAGACGAATCTAACGAAACCTCAAACGCAGAAATGAAGGCCACAAAGCAAGCCAAAGGATTATACATCTGTACATACACTCGAAACAATAACCATCCTTACAAGTACATTGTACTTACGCATCTGTCCGCTGGCAACGGCGTTGTATTCATCAGGGGAGTGTTGCACTATGAGATCAATCCGGTCCTGGAGGCTCAGCAGAAACAGCACAGCCTCCTCACGCGTCACGCCCTTCATTTCCATGTCGTTTACCTGCCAATCAATGTTGAGATGATTCAGAGAACTGAGATAGGGAGATAAATATTTGGCCTTGGCTAGAATTGGAGCAGTATATGGTTAGACGGTATTAATAGGTACATATAGGTACTAAAAAAAAATTTAGAAAACCATCTCTAAAAAGTTCAAAACTATACACCAAATTTCTCATAACAGTAGTAATCTTTCTCGTAAGTATCTCTCATGCAATTTGATACAAAAAAAACCACAGCTTACGTACGTAAGCGAAAGGAAATTCATACATACCTTGAGTATTTTGTCAGCGGGCTGCAGCCCCTGGAGGGCGGCGGGGCTGGTGGGCTGCACCCCGGATACGAACACGCCGGATCTGTTGCCGCCACAAAGCCTTAGGCCAACCGAACCCTCTTTTTGGAAACTTATTAGCCTTGGTTCGCCGCTGTAAATGATCACACAATAGATGACATTCAAAACCGCAGAGGTTAAACTGGCACCGTTATTTATTTAAATATTGATAACTTTTGTTGATGATGCATAGAGATAAACAAAATTTTATGAAAATAGTTTTGTGTATGGGATTTCACGGATACAAGAATAGAGGACGACCAAAGAAAAGATGGATGGACTGCGTGAAAGAGGATATAGCTAGAAATGGAGTGAGAGCCAGAAAGTGAAGCAATGAACTGACGAGTGATAGAGGAGAATGGAAGAAGAAAACTCATTGCGCACGAAAAGTGTAAGAAAGTGATGATAACTATTGTTTTCAATAAACAACATCTTGTTTACATAAAATCGATATGATATATGGTAGTGTAACTCACGATGGTTTATTCCTCTGGTTGTTCATTCCTTCCTGCTCTTCATATAACTGTCGTCTACTGCTATAATAATCTGTAATAAGAACATTAATTACCTGAAATGTCAATTCTAGTCACTACAGCAACTTTATCTTTAAGAAGAATAAAAGTTTAATAATAATATTCTCATACATCTCACGCACGGACGTCTGATCCCAAACTAGGCAGACTCTGTAGCATAGTAACCCGACTGCTGATGAATATACTTATGAATTTCAAAATACATACATATTATAGATAAATTCCACCTAGACACAGAACAAATGACCGTGCTCATCACACAATTATTTGCCTTGGATGGGAATCGATCCCACGACCAACAGCCCATTTATTTCAGATGAACTCGTATACCCACAATTTGTTACGCAAAGGGTTTTGAGAGTTCTATCTCCAGTCGCCCAATCAATTGGGGTCCAGACGTTACCGTTTTGAAATATAAAATAAAGTGATTGGTACCTTCATTTCTAGGAGGTGGTGGTCTCGGCGGCTGGTCGGGTGTTTCATGCGACATGGGGCCTCTCCTCACGTCTCCACCGCGAACTGGAGCCGCCACGTATAGGTTTTGACCGCTGCTTGAATAACCGGGGGAAGCCTCTGCAGCGCCATATACGTTGTTTGATGTTGCTTCTATTAAAAAAAATTACTTGCTGTTATAGGTACACAGTATTGCTTACTAATCAGTATGTAACTGGTAACTGTATGTAACTGCGTTAGCGAGGCAAGTCGATTGTCTTACGGTACTACTTACACGATAATCGTGTCGCGTGCCTAACTCTCGTCTCGTCTCTATAACCTTCTAAGCTTCTAATAAACACCACGTATAAACTTTTTGAAGAGATTTTATTTACACAATCCCTGAACATTCAGAAAATGGTAACAGTTGACACAACTTCCTATTTTAAACAGAGTTTGTATTATTAAAGCTAAAGAAGGTTCTGGAAATAATTGAATACAGGCTACAGAAACGGTTTACGCGATCGATCCTGGAACTTTTTTAGCAAGCACATCCACTAATCTTGTGGTATGAGGTAACCATTTTTGTTTCAGATGTGTAACTCCTTAAGGAACACAACTGTTAATATTCTTATTTTAACACTCAATTTAAGATTAACAAAAATAAAAAAAAACTACTATTACTCTAATTTAATTTTGCAGGATTGTCAAACACAAACAGATATGTTAATTATTTTAATTGTCTAAGATTTACACCTAATTTTAACTAATTCGTTCACTTACCTAGACTATTATAATTATTCTGATAATTTCCATTCGTGACAGTTTCTTCCCTAATAAGTTCTCGAGTCACCACCAGATTTAACCGATCCTTGCAGGACTCTATTAACTTCCTTGCTTCCTTAAGTGTAATGGCATCGGTGACGGGCGAGTTGTTGATCCTAGTCACGACATCTCCTTCGCAAAGACCTTGACCTGCTTGGTTCAGCTGTTCTCGAGCTCGCATTGTGAGCTCTTTGACGTATAGCTTGCAGCCTAGGACTACACCAAAATCTGAAAGAAAAGATGTCATATTAAGCAGACAACATAGGTCTAGCATTAATTGGACGATGAAGACAAAGTCTATGTCTAGAAGTCTATGAAAAGCGCAAGTACTTTAGCACTGCTTAAACAGCTGCATTTAAGTGGTCGACAAGTGGTCGTTCGAGAATATGAAAGTACAGTCAAGGGTCATAATGTCATACGTTAATAGAAGAAGGTCGTAAGTCCAACTAGTTTTAGTGCTATAACATCATAAACGTACTACTGGACTTATGACCGGAATAAGTAGTTTTTATTACTATAGTTATACGTTTGTAACTGCATCGCTGCGATATAACTTCATGTAAATAAAAAAAAATACATGATAAATACCGACCTTCTTTCTTCCCGTTCCTAGTTAGCGAAAGTTTAATTGTGGTGGGGGCGGTAGGGGGCGGCGCGGGCGCTCTTCGTCGCACCACCAGCGATACAGTCGCGCCACTGTCGCGCAACACTTGCACCGCACGCGCGTATTCGACATTTTCTAGCGGTATACCATTTACTGATACTATTCTATCGTTGACCCTGGAACAAAAAATTGTCATTCCAAAATATTTTCTTAGCTGGAACACTTATTCTGCTTTACTTAAAAAGTAAAGTACGAGGGTCTAGTGAGACTTGTTACTTGACTCCACAGTCAAGTTATGTACGCATAAGGACGTCGAACTATAAAAGATGTCACTCATAATAACATAAGGAGACCATCACAAGAACTGCTCTCCTATCAGGGTAGGGAAACGAGACGCATCTTCTAAATGCTTTTGTCTTAACATTGATTATTGTCAATGGTCGTTACGAAGATTAAGATTTTTGTGTCAACCAAGTTCTTCGTACTGATTAAATAATAAAATGTTATACAATGAATATTATAGGAATTCAAGTTCTCCTCCTCTTTGCAATGCCGTTTGTCCTGCATAGCTGTACCAACCCGTCTGGCCAGCGTGGTATAGAAGACCAAACCTCCTTTCTCCAGCAGTGGACTAGTAGAGGCTGAGAAATAAAATGCAATAGGTATTTATGCTATTCTATGATGCTACTCGTATGAATTTTGATGATTGATTGCAACACAAGGATATAGTAGTCGATAAAAGAACTGTACTTATCACTTACTGAAGCTTGTCCTCTGCGGGTCCTCCTCTTAATACATCAGACACGGCTATCGAAGGATCCCCGCTGGCAAAGTGAGGGTTGTCTCGACCGCCAGACACCGCAATACCAAAGCCGTAACTCGGTACGCGGTTTAAACGGACGCGGTGTGTCTCCCAACCAGCGCTGCGTTCTGCCGTCTAAAAAAGAAAAATGACTTCATTGAGTGAATTTCAGTACATTAGAATATATTTCTATACGAGTTAATAATAAAAAAATCCACAGAATGCGAAATGTATCACATTAACAGCCTTTAATAGTCCATAGTGCTGGACTCTCCTTAGAAAGGAGGTTTTGCCCTACTATACCACGCTGGCCAGACGGTATAGGGTTTGTGTCAAGATTTCCTTCTCTCTGCAGTGTTGTTGTTCTGTTTAGTTTTTGTTTAGTTTTTTCCTTTAGACTAGTTCCCTTAGAGTAGGGGTGGTGACATGGTGTCCGTGTGGTGTCTATTCTTAATCCGTCACCAAACGGACCACGGCAAAATGTGCATTTATAACTTTTTTATGACTTACGTGGCTGCCATTACCATCGAAATAACGGTTGCCATTATTTTTTATAACTGATAAAATTATTTACTTATGATACCTATATTAAACTACTAAACCTCATGTTTCTGACTCTCTAACTTCATGTATAGAATCTTTGCTCTAATCTGGAGTCTCTAGTCGAGTTTGAAGTACATATATATATTTACACGCACTAAAATGAACTCCATTTGATTTTAACAAAAAGGAAATACCCAAAGTACATATGGCCACAACATATTACATTTGCAACTGCCATTGTACGGCTTCAGCACACACAGTCATGTCAATTAAGCCGATTGCGTTCAGACGCGAAACACGTAATAACATTGAGACATTAGCATAACAGTATAGGATATTCACCCTTTAACGAGTAAATAAATAAATAGCTACTCATCCAAATAAATAATAATATTTATAAGGAGATATACATGTTTCCTTGTATGCAATAAACTCCGAAAGTACTAAACCGATTTTAATATTTCTTCGCTATTAAAAAGCTACTTTATTCAGAAGCAATGCTTATTTTCATCTTTATTTAAAGGTTTTTAAATTTGGCCGTCTTCGCACAAACTAAGCCAAGAAGAATTTCCCCTGTTTTTTTTATATTTGCAGCAGCTTTTGCCGCGGCTCCGTCCGCGTGTATATCGCGTGTATTGCGGTAAAGAGTACTCGCTGATACATTATCACTTAGCTTTCCATTCGTGAAAGAATTTTTTAAATTGATTTAGTGGTTTAGGCGTGAAAGCTTAACAAACAAACAAACTCACTTTCACATCTTATTTATAAAATTCTCGTGTCACAATGTTCGTTCCCGTACTCCTCCGAAACGGCTTGGCCGATTCTCATGAAATTTTGTGTGCACATCGGGTAGGTCTGAGAATCGGCCAACATCTATCTTCATACCCCTAAATGGTAAGGGTGACCCATCCCTATTTTTTTTTGTTTTGCAATACAACGTTTACCGGGTCAGCTAGTTTATAATATAAATATGGATGGTTATATCTCAAGTATAGTATTCTAGTTAGTAGTCAGCAGGATCTAACACTAGTAACGAGAATTACTCAAATGCAGTTCTCCTTAACCTGTTGAGCAAAGACGAATAAACAGTAAACTGGTTTATTCATAACTTGGTTAGATTAAAATTCAGATAGCCGTTTATATGAATATTACGGTTGCTTTGTATGTTAGGTACTTAGATATGCCCCCTGAAAAGTATTTCTTTTAATTGAACTAGTTATAGATTTATCTTGTTTATAATGTGGATTACTTTAATCACTTTAAGCGTGACTATAGGTTAATATTTATAAGCATTATAGCCATTAAAATAGTTGTAAAATCTGACACACTGTCAGAACACTGTGTAACAAAGGGCAGAGAGTATTTTTAAGGTACAAGGGGCTAAAGAGCAGACAGGTCACCTAATGGTAAGTGACTACCGCCGCCCATGGACACCTACGACTTACGGGACAGCAGTGTGTTTTTTGAGTCCAACAAAGGGGGGCTCTTGTAAACTCAATCAGTCGGTGAAAAGCAATGAAACGAGCCGACCGACTGCCAACTAACTGCCAAAAACTTTGCTTTCCCACGGCTATGATTTGAAAATTCTCAATTATATCAGAAACATTAAAAAAGAACTTGAAGTATGGAGCTTAAATTATTGTGAGCTTAAACATATATTGGGTCGCTTCCTACAGATTGCTCCTATTATCGCAGCAAGTGCGAATCGATTTTTATTGTTAGACGCAGGAGTCAAATATTTTCAGTCAATCGTCAACAGTAAATGCCGGCGTCTGTTGCTTAGTGGTCACAATGTCCGTTAGTTTTAAGTGACAATAAGTCAACTAACAGGATGAGAATCGAACCCGTGACACCAAATACCTAAGCGTGACAACACATTAACCCAGCTGGAAATAGAATTGAATGGGACTCAAAACGTTATAGTGTATTCATTTACATACCAATGACTAGTACCGTTTACTGTTGACTTTATTTCTGTTCGATTACATTGAAGATGATTATTTTACAATAATTGAATCCTGTTTAATCTCTATTATATTCAATGAAATGTAATTCTAACCATAAAACTTGAAACAAATTCTTAGTAGCCATCTGGAGATTTTAGTGCTTCAGAGAAATTGTTTTCTAGGTTTAGACGAGGCAATTATATATTGCGAGTAATGCGCCGAGGAATTTTTACTACATTCTGCGCCGATAATGCGTTCACGCATGCGTCACCGCTGAGGCATCGAGGCAGGAGTTATGCTTGTGAAATAAAGGTCAAGCCGAGGTACAGAATAATAATACCATTGAATGTTTGTTGGACATGATAAAGTACAGAAATACGAGCGGTAAAGTGAACTAGAATGTATTATTTTATTTGTACATGTGGTATTTTGCTTTTCCAGTACAGATTGCTTGTACTGGAAAAGCAAAAAATGTTATATACATGCAAGGAGCCTCCAAACTCTCAGAAAACCGGTGTTAAGTAATTCTTTCCTTGCTGTTCTGAGTGAGTAAGGTTCTTGGGGCCCTCACATCATCACATCAACAACCTTTAATAGTCCACTGCTGGAAAGTCCTTAGAAAGGAGGTTTTGGCCTACTATACCACGCTGGCCAGACGGGTTATTATTGTTTGGGTTACGGGTTTGTTACAAGTTTTCCTTCTCTTTGCAGTCCTGTTATCCTCCGTAGTTTGCTACATTAGTTATCTATTACGACACTCATGGAATTAGAAGGGGACACTCCGTATTCTTAAATCGTCACCACAGGTGGGCCCTAAAGAATCAAAGGGCCCCAACGTACTTGTGACTCTTGTTTCAAGGACTGGATCCTTGAAACAAGAGTAGGTAGTAGGTAGGCGGCGGTAGTCACCAACAGAGGCCCAAGTGCAAGTTTATTTCACTTCTTTTCTTCACTTCTCGATCGTCACGGTGACCGCGTTCAGCGCCACGATTGGCCAGAACTGAAATCTCCACCAATAGCAACGCTAAACGCGCTCGCTGTCGAGAGCGAGTCGTTGTGAAATAAACTTGCACTCAGCCCTCAGGTATCCCGTCTGTTCGATTGCATCCTATACCATAAAAAAACACGTTTTTACAATTCAAACAGGTGGGTTTTATAGTAGAAACATTTTTATAAATCAAATCTTACTATGAACTCTAGATCTTAAACAAATAATTTATTATTTTAGTTTAAGCTTGCAATGAATTGATAAACATAAGGATCTACGGTGCCATTGTCCTAAAGATCAAGTTATTTTTAATAGGAACCTGGTACGTTTCACTATTATATCAACAAAATTGATTAACTTAAGACATTGCGTAACAGTTAGTCGTGCTCAGGTTGTTTCTTTTTTGTTGTAACACCAGTAAGACAATAATTATTTACCCAAACCGAGCTTAGGTATACTATGAGTTTCGGGATATGAATACACTTTTTTTTGTAAATACATAGAAACGTTCAGATGCGAATAAACATATTTACCCAGTTGTTGTATAAATAATAACATACATTTGAATAATCATATAATCTTTCTTTAAAAGCGTGTAAGTAATTTCGATTTCCCGAATTTTTGATTATGCGAATGCCATAAGACCATTACTTTAACTAAGAGTAAAGTATATGGACGTGTGACATAAAACATGCAGAAGTTTTAGACTTTTTTAACTCCTTTTGTATTTCTATATTTATCTCACGTAGGGAACCCTTTTCATGCGGCTCAGACTCGTTATTGATTGATTTCATAAACAAACAAAGAACTGTACGTTTCCGGTTGATAACGTCCGAGATTTCAGAGACAAAGAATCACTCCATTCATCGAGTGGAGGGGAGGTTTTGAAAACATTGTCCATTGTCGTTTAGTTATCAATCTGTCTTGTTTGTCTTTCAAAGATGCGATGTTGACACTATTGTTAGGAACAGTGATCAATATGATTGCAAACATTTTGTAAAGAAACTTTATTATAAGTTTGTAAATTATCTAAATAACTATAATTGTGTACTATTTTATCGTCGCCCATGGAGACTTGCAACTTCGCAGGTACGTTACCGCCCCTTGAGTCCCCCCCCTTCCGAAGAGGAAGAATCAATCAGAATCAAGGGGATTCCAACTCTTGATCTTTTACTATGCTTACAGACAATGATAATACTTAGGGTTTAATGAGATTTTCTGGATTCTGATAAATATTTTTTTTATGTGAGAGGGGGCAGACGAGCAGACGGGTCCCCTGATGGAAAGTGACCATCGCCGATCATGAACGTCTGCAATTCAGGAGTCACAAACGCGTTGCCAGCCTTTGAGGAAGGAGTACGCTCTTTTCTTGAAGGTTTGAAAGTCGTATCGGTCCGGAAATACCACTAGGAATTGTCGTGACTATTTAAGCCTCTGTAAACTTCGAGCTTATACTTTGCGAAGTTATTTGAAAAGCACATTTCATTAATATTAGCTTATGTTAAAGAACTATAAGTAACTAATGTATTGGTAGACACAACCTTGCTACCTACGCTAGAACGTAAGTCTTACCAAACACGTCATTGAGTGTAGCAAAACAAAACGTACATAAATACTATGAACAGCTTCTGTTGCTGTTTTGTTCTGTATTAATAATA